CTCGTTCACTGACTGTAGTTGTAGCGGCCAGAATCCAATAATCTTGGCCTGAACGCGGGAAATAGCTAGGCGGTGCCAACTGACGTGAATCTGACTAGTTCCTGCGTTCTACTGTATAGCTTCCTAACTTCCGCGAGTGACGCACAGTCAAAGGTTGGATCGAAATATCAAAACACGGTTTGTAGTAATTCAATAGTAGATTCGTAACAAAATCTGTGGTACTATCAAAGCAACAATAAGTTATGTCAAATTACAAAAATACCTCAACAGTGCCGTTGGGTAACTATACAGTCCAAAACGTTCTCGGGTACAAATACGTACTACACGGTAAAAACTGGTTAAAAAATACAACTGTTAAATACCTGTCGGTCAATAGGAATATTCCCGGCAAAAGGGATCAAAACTCTGCCTACAGGAATCAAATCAACAAACAAACGTTCCCAGTAGACAGTCAAAAGACAAACAGTCAAATCACTGCACAACCGTAAGTTGAACCAAAACAAAATGTCGTGCGCAGTAAAACAACATCACCTTATCAACAGTCCAGCGTCACATAATAGGAAAGTGAAACACTCATAATAAGTCTCAAACATACAAAGGCAAATACCGAGTGTAAAGTCAAATAAGACAGTTAAACAAGCAAATAACATTACACCGGCGAGGGTCAAAGGTACACCATCCACAACGAGGGTAAAAATGTTAAAATAAATGTCAATACAATCAAATAAGGGTGATCGGGAGGGATTTTCAGATCATTTTTCCTTTACACCGGCCACCAAAATCCCTCCAGACACGCAAAACACCTCTGTGTATTCAGCCGTGGCTCTATCTACCTAGCTGTCTGCATACTCTATCTTTCTTCTACTCCCTCAAGAAGACAAAGCTTTCTTATATCTCTTCTCACGGTACCTTCCTTCATACGCACCATCACAGTTCTTACTAAATCGTCTTCGTCCTTCTCGCATGTTTCGATCACTCCCAAAGGCCAGGAACCACGTGGTGTTTTTTCAGAGGCCACAATCACCACATCTCCCTCCTTGAAATTTCTTTTCCTTCCCAACCACTTCTGACGAGTTTGCAAGCATGGTAGATATTCTTTCATCCATCGGCGCCAAAATACGTCAGCTAAGTAATTAACTTGTTTCCATCCTTTCTGCACGCGACAGACCGGTAAAGGGGCCATCATCTGCTGACCCAGTGCAGCTTTCAATCGTCGGCACTCTATGCACTTTCTTATCACCCGTTTGACCGCACTGATCCCCTTAATTATCCAATAGTTTCTTCGTAGAGTGGCCAGGACTTGCGAAGTACCAGTATGTCCTTCTATAATATGATAATGCCTTATGATCAGCTCAGTCACGAAGTGATGTCTGGGGAGGATAACCGGATGCTTAAAAGTAAGTGGATAGTCGGAATAGTTCAACCTCCCACCGACGCAGACCAATCCATCCACAAGTATAGGTGACAACCTTTGCAATTCACCTTCTTCAGTCTCACAACTACCCTTTTCTCGGAGTTCCTTTATTAATTCTCCATATACCTCCTGTTGTACCATACATAATACTTTATGTCTAGCAGCTTCCAGTTCATCGGCTGTTAGATAGCCAACATTCAGTGACACACCTTGGCGACGCGAATACATAACGGATATGTAGACCACATATCTCTTAAGCCATGCCACAGCTTTAATCAGCCTCACCCAGTCCGAATGATACGCCAAAATCGGATCAGCAGTGAGCTCAGTAACGTTTGTGTTTGTTCGGACCGACCTCTTCAATTCGACATTTTTCGGTGGTTCCTTCCAGCAGAGGTCTGTGGTACTTGAAAACTGTCGGGTTCCCAGAAAAGAGGGGCCCTGAATCCAAGACGCTAATTCACACGCTTTTCGTATGCCTCTTGATGTCCAATCTGCGGGATTCTCTTCAGATTTAACGTACCCCCACTGATTTGGGGATGAATACTGGTGAATAATGGCTAGACGGTTGGCCACAAACGTACTATACCGACTCTCTGTATTTCTAATATAGTACAAAACAATCATAGAATCTGTCCAAAAATAAGTCTTGTCAAAGCTATTTGGGAGGTTCTTCCTCAAAATTTCACTCATTCGTGCACTCAATACTGCCGCAGCTAACTCTAATCTCGGCACTGTCACCGTTTTCAGAGGGGCAACCCGGGATTTGCTATAAAGCAGTATGCTGTAGGGTGGCGTGTTTTTTGGAACGTTCCACGAATAAGCCACCGCTCCATAACCAGATTCAGAGGCATCGCAAAATAAGTGCAACTCAATCTTACTCATCTCACTCTTATCCTCCTTCTTGATACTTCTGGGTACGGAGATTTGCCCAAGATTCTTCATGAACCTCATCCAATCCATCCATAGGGATAGGTCATTGGAACTCAGGGGTGTATCCCAACCAGCATGAGATTTGCAAAGATTCTGCAATAGCTGCTTGGCCGGAAGACAAACTGGGGCGATGAGGCCTAGTGGGTCAAAAAGAGCTGAGACGGTGGATAGTAGTCCTCTCTTCGTGAAGGGTTTTTCGACGGGTTCAAATCGGAACTTAAAAACATCATGCATGGTGTCCCATTCCAAACCTAGGGCCCTGTGGATTGAGCCTTGACTAACACGTAAGTCGACTGAGTTCTCTGTGTGGCTCAGACCAGGAAGAACTACTCTCACTGCCTCTGAATTAGTCACCCACTTCTTCAATTTAAAGCCACCACGTAACAACAACTCAGTGGACTGTTTTACGAACGTTTTTGCCTCACCTGGGCTTGCAAAGGACACTAGGCAATCATCAACATAAAAGTTATGCTTCACTGCTTCCACCACATAGCTATCATAATCGTTGGCATACGTCTCGGCAGTCTTGGCCATTGCAAAATACGCACAAAACGGTGAGGACACTGCACCGAATGGGTGTGACGTCATTTGATATTCAATAGGTTCCTTCGAGAAATCACCCTGAGGCCACCATAGGAACCGCAGAGCACCTCGGTCAAACTCTGGGACTTTCACCTGCATAAACATTTCTTCCACATCGGACGTCAGGGCAATCAGTTCTTTGCGAAAACGCAATAATATTCCAACCAAGTTCGCTGTCGTGTCTGGTCCCTGATACAGGAAGTCATTTAAAGAAGTTCCGGACAGTTTGGCAGCGCAGTCCAGCACAACTCTTACCTTCCCCGGTTTCTTGGGGTTAAATACGGCATGATGCGGCAAATACCATCGTGGGCGGTAGCTAGGATTAAGCTGGGGCTCAGGAGCTACTGCTGCATATCCCTTTCTGATGGTCTCTTCCATGGCGCTAGTGTAGCTTTCGCGAAGGCTTTCAGAGGATATTAGTCTGGGTTTCAAACTCTCCAAACGTCGCCTGGCTACTTCGCATCCACCGTATACTCTCTTGGACTCCATTTTCCAGGGCAAGGGGACAACGAAATGTCCATTATCCCAATAAGTACCTCGCTGCACTATGTTTACAGCGGCTAGGTCATCGAGAGATAACGACTTATCTCCCGAGTACAAATCGCTGAACTCATAATCGTAAATTTTCTTCCATTGATCGACTAATAGATCTGACCGAGACATACAATTCACAACCCTCTCCCTGTGCTCACGAAAGCTTGTCGGACCGAACACGACCCAGCCCAACAATGATCTCACAGCATATGGGCTCTTTCTGCCCCCTAACTTCTGATCTAGAACCCAGTGAGCCTCAGGTACATCGCAACCGATGAGCAGCAATACCTCCCCGTCTTCCACCTCTGTCCAGGGTACGTCAGTCAGATGCGGCCACCTTTTAATACTTTCTCGCATCGACCCTTTAGGTCTCCGTACTGGGAGATCTCTTGCCACAACTGCTCGATCTATAAGTATGCATTCGTTTCCGTCTAGTGAATAAACTTCGAAAGGCTTGCTGACTGAGTCCGCCAATCTACTTCCACTAACAGTTTTGATGATAGTCTTTGTGCCGTCAGTCGACAATCCTAGAAGTTGCAAAACATTTTCGTGATCAAAGTTGTATCAGAGCCATTGTCCAAGATAGCATAACCGTAAACCTCTTTATTACCGTGCTTTACACGTACCGGGAGTAGGCCCAAACACACGCTTTCTCTGAGAGACTCGGTGCATCCACAACTACCTTTCTCCGGTTGTTCGCCTACGGCGTGGTGGGTCTTCTTGTGTAACAGAGGGTGATGGTATGCTTTACAACCTTCTACACTGCACACCCTGTGAATTTTACATTCTACGGACCTGTGGCCCCTTTTAAGACATGAAAAACAACAACCTGTTTCTTTAGCCTTCGACCATCTCTCATCCACCGGTAACGACAGAAATGTGGTACATTTTGTGACTACATGGTTCCCTCCACAAAATATACATGAAGGTTTCAGGACTCCCCCAACGGGTACTAGCTGCTGCGTGGAACATGCTATTTTACTATCTGGTCGTCGACTGCTTGTTGCCAGCTGTCCAAACCTACTTAGCAAAATGCTCGCACGTGCTGACACAAACTGCGTTAACTCTGCGAAGGTAGGTTCTCGTTCGGTTTCAGTTAGCTTTTCGACAGTCTCCGCCCATTTCATCTGTAACACACGGGGCAATTTCTTTACTATACCTTCTAAAGTTCTCAAGGAGTTAAGGTCCGCAGTATAGTCCATTTGCTCTAGGGCTATAGCGCAGTTTTCCATTTTTATAGCTAACCTCGACATTGCCTCAGCATCGTTTTGTTCTATGTTCGAGCATTCCATCAGATCCTGTAGTAAGGCCCGGCTGACTTCATGAGTCCTTCCAAACAAACGTTGAGTATATCCCGAGCCCTACGATAACCAGCAGATGGTGGTAACATAATGCATTCCTCTATAGCCTCCCTGGCCTTACCTTTACAGTAATGTAACAAGTATAACAGCCTCTGTCCATCATCATCAACCTTAGAGACAACGTAGAGCTCAAACTGCCTCATAAACTTCCAATATTTGGCTGGATGTCCGTCAAAGCTGCTTAATTCTACTTTCGGTAACTCATGGCCAACACTGACACAAGGCAACGTAGCGGCAACCCCTTTGTTTTCTGCGCTGCTCGCCTGGCTAGTCGTTTCACGATCAGAACTGCTATGAGGGTCAATGCCAAGACAAACTGATTTGTGACACTTTATATCATCATCCAAGGAAAAGGTATCACCTAAACCCCCATTCACATCTAAGTTGAGTTCTTTATGCAGACGCAACCTTTCCTGTCTTTGTTTAGCCTTGAATTCACGAAGTTCCAACTCTTGCCTTTCATCCAACTGTCGTACCTTCAACTGAGCAGAGGTCCTACAAGGACTAGTCTTACTATAGTCAATAACTGTACCATTATCAGAGCCACGGCATGAAATAACATCAAGAGGGACTTGCTTGGTATCTGAGGTTGGATCCATGGACATGTCACCTTCCCCGTCCGGAATTGACTCAAGGAACACCTTGCGATTGCCAGGTACAGCAGTGACGGGTTGTTGAGTACTGTAGCGGCCAGAATCCAATAATCTTGGCCTGAACGCGGGAAATAGCTAGGCGGTGCCAACTGACGTGAATCTGACTAGTTCCTGCGTTCTACTGTATAGCTTCCTAACTTCCGCGAGTGACGCACAGTCAAAGGTTGGATCGAAATATCAAAACACGGTTTGTAGTAATTCAATAGTAGATTCGTAACAAAATCTGTGGTACTATCAAAGCAACAATAAGTTATGTCAAATTACAAAAATACCTCAACAGTGCCGTTGGGTAACTATACAGTCCAAAACGTTCTCGGGTACAAATACGTACTACACGGTAAAAACTGGTTAAAAAATACAACTGTTAAATACCTGTCGGTCAATAGGAATATTCCCGGCAAAAGGGATCAAAACTCTGCCTACAGGAATCAAATCAACAAACAAACGTTTCCAGTAGACAGTCAAAAGACAAACAGTCAAATCACTGCACAACCGTAAGTTGAACCAAAACAAAATGTCGTGCGCAGTAAAACAACATCACCTTATCAACAGTCCAGCGTCACATAATAGGAAAGTGAAACACTCATAATAAGTCTCAAACATACAAAGGCAAATACCGAGTGTAAAGTCAAATAAGACAGTTAAACAAGCAAATAACATTACACCGGCGAGGGTCAAAGGTACACCATCCACAACGAGGGTAAAAATGTTAAAATAAATGTCAATACAATCAAATAAGGGTGATCGGGAGGGATTTTCAGATCATTTTTCCTTTACACCGGCCACCAAAATCCCTCCAGACACGCAAAACACCTCTGTGTATTCAGCCGTGGCTCTATCTACCTAGCTGTCTGCATACTCTATCTTTCTTCTACTCCCTCAAGAAGACAAAGCTTTCTTATATCTCTTCTCACGGTACCTTCCTTCATACGCACCATCACAGTTCTTACTAAATCGTCTTCGTCCTTCTCGCATGTTTCGATCACTCCCAAAGGCCAGGAACCACGTGGTGTTTTTTCAGAGGCCACAATCACCACATCTCCCTCCTTGAAATTTCTTTTCCTTCCCAACCACTTCTGACGAGTTTGCAAGCATGGTAGATATTCTTTCATCCATCGGCGCCAAAATACGTCAGCTAAGTAATTAACTTGTTTCCATCCTTTCTGCACGCGACAGACCGGTAAAGGGGCCATCATCTGCTGACCCAGTGCAGCTTTCAATCGTCGGCACTCTATGCACTTTCTTATCACCCGTTTGACCGCACTGATCCCCTTAATTATCCAATAGTTTCTTCGTAGAGTGGCCAGGACTTGCGAAGTACCAGTATGTCCTTCTATAATATGATAATGCCTTATGATCAGCTCAGTCACGAAGTGATGTCTGGGGAGGATAACCGGATGCTTAAAAGTAAGTGGATAGTCGGAATAGTTCAACCTCCCACCGACGCAGACCAATCCATCCACAAGTATAGGTGACAACCTTTGCAATTCACCTTCTTCAGTCTCACAACTACCCTTTTCTCGGAGTTCCTTTATTAATTCTCCATATACCTCCTGTTGTACCATACATAATACTTTATGTCTAGCAGCTTCCAGTTCATCGGCTGTTAGATAGCCAACATTCAGTGACACACCTTGGCGACGCGAATACATAACGGATATGTAGACCACATATCTCTTAAGCCATGCCACAGCTTTAATCAGCCTCACCCAGTCCGAATGATACGCCAAAATCGGATCAGCAGTGAGCTCAGTAACGTTTGTGTTTGTTCGGACCGACCTCTTCAATTCGACATTTTTCGGTGGTTCCTTCCAGCAGAGGTCTGTGGTACTTGAAAACTGTCGGGTTCCCAGAAAAGAGGGGCCCTGAATCCAAGACGCTAATTCACACGCTTTTCGTATGCCTCTTGATGTCCAATCTGCGGGATTCTCTTCAGATTTAACGTACCCCCACTGATTTGGGGATGAATACTGGTGAATAATGGCTAGACGGTTGGCCACAAACGTACTATACCGACTCTCTGTATTTCTAATATAGTACAAAACAATCATAGAATCTGTCCAAAAATAAGTCTTGTCAAAGCTATTTGGGAGGTTCTTCCTCAAAATTTCACTCATTCGTGCACTCAATACTGCCGCAGCTAACTCTAATCTCGGCACTGTCACCGTTTTCAGAGGGGCAACCCGGGATTTGCTATAAAGCAGTATGCTGTAGGGTGGCGTGTTTTTTGGAACGTTCCACGAATAAGCCACCGCTCCATAACCAGATTCAGAGGCATCGCAAAATAAGTGCAACTCAATCTTACTCATCTCACTCTTATCCTCCTTCTTGATACTTCTGGGTACGGAGATTTGCCCAAGATTCTTCATGAACCTCATCCAATCCATCCATAGGGATAGGTCATTGGAACTCAGGGGTGTATCCCAACCAGCATGAGATTTGCAAAGATTCTGCAATAGCTGCTTGGCCGGAAGACAAACTGGGGCGATGAGGCCTAGTGGGTCAAAAAGAGCTGAGACGGTGGATAGTAGTCCTCTCTTCGTGAAGGGTTTTTCGACGGGTTCAAATCGGAACTTAAAAACATCATGCATGGTGTCCCATTCCAAACCTAGGGCCCTGTGGATTGAGCCTTGACTAACACGTAAGTCGACTGAGTTCTCTGTGTGGCTCAGACCAGGAAGAACTACTCTCACTGCCTCTGAATTAGTCACCCACTTCTTCAATTTAAAGCCACCACGTAACAACAACTCAGTGGACTGTTTTACGAACGTTTTTGCCTCACCTGGGCTTGCAAAGGACACTAGGCAATCATCAACATAAAAGTTATGCTTCACTGCTTCCACCACATAGCTATCATAATCGTTGGCATACGTCTCGGCAGTCTTGGCCATTGCAAAATACGCACAAAACGGTGAGGACACTGCACCGAATGGGTGTGACGTCATTTGATATTCAATAGGTTCCTTCGAGAAATCACCCTGAGGCCACCATAGGAACCGCAGAGCACCTCGGTCAAACTCTGGGACTTTCACCTGCATAAACATTTCTTCCACATCGGACGTCAGGGCAATCAGTTCTTTGCGAAAACGCAATAATATTCCAACCAAGTTCGCTGTCGTGTCTGGTCCCTGATACAGGAAGTCATTTAAAGAAGTTCCGGACAGTTTGGCAGCGCAGTCCAGCACAACTCTTACCTTCCCCGGTTTCTTGGGGTTAAATACGGCATGATGCGGCAAATACCATCGTGGGCGGTAGCTAGGATTAAGCTGGGGCTCAGGAGCTACTGCTGCATATCCCTTTCTGATGGTCTCTTCCATGGCGCTAGTGTAGCTTTCGCGAAGGCTTTCAGAGGATATTAGTCTGGGTTTCAAACTCTCCAAACGTCGCCTGGCTACTTCGCATCCACCGTATACTCTCTTGGACTCCATTTTCCAGGGCAAGGGGACAACGAAATGTCCATTATCCCAATAAGTACCTCGCTGCACTATGTTTACAGCGGCTAGGTCATCGAGAGATAACGACTTATCTCCCGAGTACAAATCGCTGAACTCATAATCGTAAATTTTCTTCCATTGATCGACTAATAGATCTGACCGAGACATACAATTCACAACCCTCTCCCTGTGCTCACGAAAGCTTGTCGGACCGAACACGACCCAGCCCAACAATGATCTCACAGCATATGGGCTCTTTCTGCCCCCTAACTTCTGATCTAGAACCCAGTGAGCCTCAGGTACATCGCAACCGATGAGCAGCAATACCTCCCCGTCTTCCACCTCTGTCCAGGGTACGTCAGTCAGATGCGGCCACCTTTTAATACTTTCTCGCATCGACCCTTTAGGTCTCCGTACTGGGAGATCTCTTGCCACAACTGCTCGATCTATAAGTATGCATTCGTTTCCGTCTAGTGAATAAACTTCGAAAGGCTTGCTGACTGAGTCCGCCAATCTACTTCCACTAACAGTTTTGATGATAGTCTTTGTGCCGTCAGTCGACAATCCTAGAAGTTGCAAAACATTTTCGTGATCAAAGTTGTATCAGAGCCATTGTCCAAGATAGCATAACCGTAAACCTCTTTATTACCGTGCTTTACACGTACCGGGAGTAGGCCCAAACACACGCTTTCTCTGAGAGACTCGGTGCATCCACAACTACCTTTCTCCGGTTGTTCGCCTACGGCGTGGTGGGTCTTCTTGTGTAACAGAGGGTGATGGTATGCTTTACAACCTTCTACACTGCACACCCTGTGAATTTTACATTCTACGGACCTGTGGCCCCTTTTAAGACATGAAAAACAACAACCTGTTTCTTTAGCCTTCGACCATCTCTCATCCACCGGTAACGACAGAAATGTGGTACATTTTGTGACTACATGGTTCCCTCCACAAAATATACATGAAGGTTTCAGGACTCCCCCAACGGGTACTAGCTGCTGCGTGGAACATGCTATTTTACTATCTGGTCGTCGACTGCTTGTTGCCAGCTGTCCAAACCTACTTAGCAAAATGCTCGCACGTGCTGACACAAACTGCGTTAACTCTGCGAAGGTAGGTTCTCGTTCGGTTTCAGTTAGCTTTTCGACAGTCTCCGCCCATTTCATCTGTAACACACGGGGCAATTTCTTTACTATACCTTCTAAAGTTCTCAAGGAGTTAAGGTCCGCAGTATAGTCCATTTGCTCTAGGGCTATAGCGCAGTTTTCCATTTTTATAGCTAACCTCGACATTGCCTCAGCATCGTTTTGTTCTATGTTCGAGCATTCCATCAGATCCTGTAGTAAGGCCCGGCTGACTTCATGAGTCCTTCCAAACAAACGTTGAGTATATCCCGAGCCCTACGATAACCAGCAGATGGTGGTAACATAATGCATTCCTCTATAGCCTCCCTGGCCTTACCTTTACAGTAATGTAACAAGTATAACAGCCTCTGTCCATCATCATCAACCTTAGAGACAACGTAGAGCTCAAACTGCCTCATAAACTTCCAATATTTGGCTGGATGTCCGTCAAAGCTGCTTAATTCTACTTTCGGTAACTCATGGCCAACACTGACACAAGGCAACGTAGCGGCAACCCCTTTGTTTTCTGCGCTGCTCGCCTGGCTAGTCGTTTCACGATCAGAACTGCTATGAGGGTCAATGCCAAGACAAACTGATTTGTGACACTTTATATCATCATCCAAGGAAAAGGTATCACCTAAACCCCCATTCACATCTAAGTTGAGTTCTTTATGCAGACGCAACCTTTCCTGTCTTTGTTTAGCCTTGAATTCACGAAGTTCCAACTCTTGCCTTTCATCCAACTGTCGTACCTTCAACTGAGCAGAGGTCCTACAAGGACTAGTCTTACTATAGTCAATAACTGTACCATTATCAGAGCCACGGCATGAAATAACATCAAGAGGGACTTGCTTGGTATCTGAGGTTGGATCCATGGACATGTCACCTTCCCCGTCCGGAATTGACTCAAGGAACACCTTGCGATTGCCAGGTACAGCAGTGACGGGTTGTTGAGTACTGTAGCGGCCAGAATCCAATAATCTTGGCCTGAACGCGGGAAATAGCTAGGCGGTGCCAACTGACGTGAATCTGACTAGTTCCTGCGTTCTACTGTATAGCTTCCTAACTTCCGCGAGTGACGCACAGTCAAAGGTTGGATCGAAATATCAAAACACGGTTTGTAGTAATTCAATAGTAGATTCGTAACAAAATCTGTGGTACTATCAAAGCAACAATAAGTTATGTCAAATTACAAAAATACCTCAACAGTGCCGTTGGGTAACTATACAGTCCAAAACGTTCTCGGGTACAAATACGTACTACACGGTAAAAACTGGTTAAAAAATACAACTGTTAAATACCTGTCGGTCAATAGGAATATTCCCGGCAAAAGGGATCAAAACTCTGCCTACAGGAATCAAATCAACAAACAAACGTTTCCAGTAGACAGTCAAAAGACAAACAGTCAAATCACTGCACAACCGTAAGTTGAACCAAAACAAAATGTCGTGCGCAGTAAAACAACATCACCTTATCAACAGTCCAGCGTCACATAATAGGAAAGTGAAACACTCATAATAAGTCTCAAACATACAAAGGCAAATACCGAGTGTAAAGTCAAATAAGACAGTTAAACAAGCAAATAACATTACACCGGCGAGGGTCAAAGGTACACCATCCACAACGAGGGTAAAAATGTTAAGATGAATGTCAATACAATCAAATAAGGGTGATCGGGAGGGATTTTCAGATCATTTTTCCTTTACAGTAGTCGCAGCCTTGCAACACTCATTGACACGGGTGCACATAAAATTTCGGAAGTTGAGCTTGATCTTAGCCCAATAAACTCAATGAAACCCTCTCTCTTTGAGGGAGTAGTTGGGATACCTGGCATTTTCATCAAAAATAACGGTACGGACTTCCACATATTGCCAGCAAAACTACTCAACCTCTCCTTAAACTCTGGCACTTTCCCAGTTTCATGAAAGACTGGTCATATTGCCCAGTGCTTTAAGAAAGGTTCCAGACTCAGTCTGGAGAACTACCGCCCTATCAACATAACACATATCCTTTCACGTATAGTGGAGAAAGTACTAAAAAACGCCATCTTCTCCCACGTTTCAGATCACAAGCCTATGAACTGTCCGCAGCACGGATTTTCGTCCAAGAAATCTTTATCACGTATCACCTAGAATTCTCCGAACACGTAATTAACAGTAGGGACGACAGAAGTGATTATTTCACCTCACTCCGACTTCACCAAAGCTTTTGACGTAGTACGTCTCCCCTCACGCCTTCATAAACTGAACTCATTTGTGATAAATGGTGGGCTGCAAGAATGGATTGACTCATTTCCGCTGAACCGCATCCAAGTTGCCAAAACGGGCTCACATTAATCCATTCCCAGAAATATCACCGATGCAGTAATCCAAGGCTCCGTCCTGGGGCCCCTTCTCTTTATAATGTATACAAATGATATATGCACCCGCTTTCAGTCAAGGAAAACCTTTTTCTTGCAGACGACAGAAAGTAACGTACGCTTTTCAGCCTGATCAATTTAGTAGCATCGGTGCCACCATATAAAATGGTCCTGACAAGCCACAAATGTGGTGAGGCATGTGACCGCTATCTCCAAATACACAGAAGTCTGGTCTTATCCTCTTCAGTGAACAGAGCTTGTCAACTAATCTTCGACTCGACAGCCTTGGACTCCAACAGCTACGTAGCATTTGCGACCTTGGAATAAGGTACTTCAGTGACCTTTCTTCTGTAGAACTCGTAACGGTACAATGCTCAAAATCACGCCACCCCACTGACTTCATTCACGGAATTTTTCGCCTAAATGAGACCAAGCTGACTGTATAAGATATGTGTGATCACTACCAGAATACTGTCCTATAAGACCTAGTTATAGCCATGAGCTAGGTGACACTATGACTGGTATTCAACATGAACTAGAAAATCTTTCTTCCTGGTGTGCTGATACCCTTCTACAGATTAACATCAACAAATGAGGATGGATCTGCATTGGTAACAGTAACCTTGAGTTGACGTTTGAAGTATCTGGACAACAGTTACCACAACTTAGTTCTGTCTCGCACCCAGGGCTCAGATATTCCACCGACTTTAGTTTCTCTGAGCAGGGAGCGTACAGCGAAACTAAATCAAGCAGACTCCTAGGACGCATCATTCGTAACTTTTATAGTACTGAATCAAGGGTCCTACTCTACAAAGTATGCATCCGTCCAATTCTAGAATACTGCTCATTTTTCATAAGCAGCTTTCGAATAGACGACTAACTAAAAATCGAAGGGGTACGACGCCACTTTACATTAAGAACACTAGGAGCTGACTACAACCTTGACTACGTCTCCAGATGCAACATGCTAGGACTAGAACCTCTCTGGAAGAGGCGACTTAGAATGAACCTTATACTTTACTATAAACTACTTTGTAAGCAAATGCACTCATGCAGTCCAGGAATTAAAATAGTTGTGACATCTTTTCACAATATACGTAATCACAAGCAATTAGCTGAAACTGAGTGTTGTAAGACCAAATGGCGAGGAAGTTTCTTCCTCAATAAATTCTCTCGCATCTGGGATGGGCTTCCTGAGGAAATACGTGCTGCAGGTTCATTATCTGTCTATCGCTGCTCACTTAATAAGCTCCTCACACGTGATGAGTCTATCACTCGTTGAGTCACTATGTATACGTTCTGGGCTAATGAAAACACACTAGGACCCCTAAACGTATAAAGTAAGGCTATCAAGAGTCCCGAGTATCTTTTGCCTAATGGGCCCAGATACTATTGCATGCGGCGTTTGACTGCTATTCCACGAGCTTAGTTTGTGTAGTCAGCAAACTGTACATCACCCGATGTAGAGTCGGTTTTACCTGTTCGCCTGCAAACATCCAAAAACCTGTACGTATTTTACGTAGGAAAATCATGAGAATCTTTCTTATATGCATAAATTAAAGTGTACGTATAGCTTGAGCGTCTCAAAGATAGGAACTTCTCTCTTCCCAATTTCATCTTGCGTGGTATATCATTCTCCGGTTTCTGCTCTTGCTCTCATTTTCTCCTCCTTACATCTGAAGTTTGAAGAGAAAACCTTGAGCATAATTTTGACCAAA